GGCGCTCCTAACCGGTCAATATTAACATTGTGGTGATGTTGAGAGTGCAGTTTGTATCAGATTTACGTTCAGAAAATTCTTAAATACGTATTTCGCCGGGACGAGGGGCGGAGTGTGTTTGGCATAAAGCGCAGGGTGTGCGGGGCTCACCCCGCAGCTCCCGGCTGATTTGGCATGAGCACCCCCGGGCTCGTCCGCATCGCCCCAGTCAGTTCACGCATGAGCATCCAATTAACACACACATGAGCGCACAATTAATTTGCATATGAGCACCCAGCTGCATTTATGCATGGCTGCCCAGCGAATTCCCGCTGGATCGCACGCTGCTGCATGAGCGCCCTGGCTGTTGATGCATGAGTGCCCAATTAATTGGCGCACGTGGCTGCAATTAGCTCATGCCTGAGTGTCCAATTAATTCATGCATGAGCACCTGATGCATTCACACCTGAGTGCCCAATTAGTAAGTGCACAAGTGTGTTATCTCCTAATTACACTAATTTACACATGAGTGCCCAATTAGCTCACGCCGGAGTGCCCAGCGAATGGACGTGTGACTGCTAAATTAATCCGTGCATGAGCGCCCCGTGAGTTCATGAATGCCCAAAAAAATGGATGCATGAGCCCGCAGCTGGTTCGTGCATGAGCGGCCCTTTCACTCTCGCCGCAGCACCCGGGCAGTTCATGCATGAGCACCCAATTAGTTCACCTAGAAGCACCCACATAATTTATGCACGAGTGCCCAATTAGTCCACGCATGATCTCCCGCTGTGATTTTGCATGAGTGCCCCTCTGGCTCAGACATGGGTGCCCACTTAGTTCGTGCATAAATGCCCCATTCCTTCACGCCTGAGCACCCATTGTGTGTGTTTCATTTCCCCCGGCCTGAGCACCCAGAGCCGGTTTAGGCAGCCCCAAACCCGATGGGAGCCCCGTCTTGGGGTGGTGTGCCGGCTCCCCCAGACTGGGATGCCCGGGGACCCTGTGAAGGAGCCACAGCAGATCCCTGGGGGAATAAACGCCACAGGATGTCCCTGGCATGACCCAGTGTGTGGTGCTGGACCGGTTGCCCGTGGGTTGGCACGGCCCGTGAGCTGGCATGGTTGCAGTGCCCTGTGGCGGTGAGGGAAGCCACTTTGTGCCTGGAAATAATTAACTGGTTTCCCTGATAAGGCTGCTGTGCCCACGGCCCCACGGGATCAGGGTGCTGTTCTAGCAGCTGAGACAAGGGGGGACTCGGGGGAGACTCCTCACCGCTGCTTGCTGAGCCCTCGGGAGCCCAAACCTGCACAAGGACGGAGCCGTGCCCTTGGTTTTGGCTCACAGGGCTGAGCCGAGCCTGCTCAGAGTGCAACCCTGCGGCCGTGGCCAGACCCTTGCGCACAGCTGAAGGGATGTCAGCACAAAACAAGCCTCTGGGGGGCTGAAGCATCGCGTCACCTCATGCATCCCACCGTGACCGGGGGTCCCTGAACCATTTGAACCCTGTTTCCTCCTGCCCTCCTTCCTCCCGCCTTGTCCCCTCCAGCGAGCTCCCTGCGGCCGGGCGACGGGTGGGGATTTGCAGTCCCGGGTCTCTCCTCTCTCTGCCTGGAAAACACAAATTAACAGGCTTGAGCACTGATTAACCAGAGCTGATTCTTGCTGCAGTGGCAGCTGGGTGGTGGGAGGAGAGGGGGCACGCGAAGGGCGGGTGGTGACGGAGCTGTCAGTCCTCGCCTGTGCCGCTGGGATTGATGGAGAGGTGGGGGGAGAGGGCTGGGGGGGAGAGCTGGGTACCGGCAGCTGCTCGGAGGGGGCTGGGGGCTGCTCGGAGGCTCTGCCCCTCTGCGCTGTGTGAGACGAGACGCCGAAACCTTCCTTCCCGAGGTGGAAAGGGACCGACCAGCCAAGAGAGAGGGCCCTTGGATGGGGTTTGACCGTGTGGGGCAGCTCCTGAGCTGCTCTGGGTGCCTGTCCCCGCTGCCTGCGCTGAGCCCCGCGCTCTCCGTTCTGTGCGCGGGGCTGAGCGCTCGGGCCGGGCCTGCGGGGCCACGCCGGGGCTCCCTGCTCGGCGATGCCTCTTCCAGCCTTGCGGTTCGTAACAAACGATAACACTCTGCCTTTATTTAGCGCCTTTCGTCCCCGAGGAGCCCGGGGCACGCTGCTGCTAACAAGCTGCTACGTGCGCTATTTACAGCCCTGCCCGGCGGTCCCCGGAGCGCGGCACGGCTCTGCTCGGCTGGGACCCGGCCCTGCTCGGCTGGGCTGCTCTGGGGGGGCTGCTCTGGGTCATCCCCTTGTTTTGAGGCGTCCGGGGGCTCGCCTGGCCGAGGTTTGTATCGCTGCGAATTGATGTGTGCCGGCTCGGCGCCGCGCCGCAATCCATGCCGCGGGAGGGAAATGCAGCAGCAGCCGCTGCACAGGAGCTGCCGTGAGCCCGGCTGGGCTCAGCCTGCGGCAATGCAGGGCACAGGGACAGCCCCAGCCTCGGCACAGGTGGCTCAGCCACGCACGCAGTAGCGTGTCCCCAAGGCTTCTGTGGCTGCAAGTCGGGCATTAGCGTTCCTAATTGGTGCCACTCGGAGTGTCAACACCCAGCAGGGCCGGAGCGGCTGGGAAGCGGCAGCCGGGAAGTCTTCATCTGTCCCGGCTCTGTATCAGCAGGTACAGGAGGCAGGTACTGCTCAGTCCCACACTGGATCGGGGCTGGCGTGGTTCCCTGCCCTGGGAGCAGACGGGAGATTTGGTGGAGAACCCAGAGTGGGGTGGTTTTCCAAAGGCTGGGAGATGAGGCCGTGCTCCCATCTCAGGACAAACCCCACAGATTCCCCAGCTCCCAAGGCTGGAGGACAGGCACCGGTGCCAGCGTGCTGGAGGAGGGCTGGGGCTCCGTGTGGCTCCGTGCCAGGCTGCACATTAACAAATCCCTCCTCGGGAGCCCTGTGCTGATTTCCAGCCTGGCACCTGAACGGTTTCCTCCGTCGGAAAAGCCTCTCCTGGGAGCATCACACATCTCTCCTGCGGCACGAGGGGAGCTGGCTCCGTCCCTCCCTCCCGCCTCAGCCCGAGCTGTCATTACCAGCATTTCTCCCGAACTAAAAAAAGCACAAATTTCTTAATTGTTTCCTGCTGGAGTTGAAAGGCAGCTCCCGGGCCCAAAATAGCACGTTGGGGGAAAAGCAGTCGAACAAGAGAGAGCAGAAGGCGATTTGCCTGGAGGGGCTGAGCCGAGCTCTGAGTGCAGCCCCGGCTGCTGCTGCGGTTTTGCCTGCCCCGAGGGCTCACCCTCATCCTCCTCCTCCCACCTTGGTGCTCTCCTTGGTGCTCCTGGGTGCTTGGGCCTGCAGAGCCGGTGCCTGGGGCATCCCCCGGGCATCCTCAGGGTGGAGGTCACGCCTGGTGTCTCAGTGCAGGTGTGTGCAGGTTCCTGCTGGAGATGTCACTCAGCATCTCTCTTTTGGAAGGATGCTTCTGTGCAACCCTTTTTTTTTTTTTTCTTTAGGGATGGGGAAATCCCTTGGAACTGCTATGACTGATGTTTTAGCCCACTCCAGCTCGGCTGCTGGATGCAGTGTGTCCTTCCTGCCTCCCTCCTGCCAAGAGACCGCTGTGTGCCCAAAACAAACAACCCTCCAAATCCCTCCTGTGGCACTGCCAAAGCTCTCTGTGTTCTTCATCCCAGATGCTGAGCATCCCTGTGCCTGTGTCCCCTCTCCTGGGGAGCTGCTGTCCAACACCCCGTGGTGCTACAGTGGGTGCTGCTTTTGCTGAACCCTAGAGAAAAATGGGGAATCGAAAGCTCTGTCCCTCCAGCGACCCCTGTGCTGGGATGGAGGGACCCTCCAAAGCATGGGGACAGCCTTGGGCACAGAAATTCCTGCTAACAGGGATGCTGGAGCCAGAATCCAGCTGGTGATGAGGTGGGAGCCGTTGTGTGCCCTCCCGGCCACCCCAGCCCTCACCTCTGAGCTCTGCGCCTTCTGCCAGGCACGTTACAAATCTTCCTGATGGAAAATGGCTTTCTTTATTTTTCTTGCCATCCAAGGTAATTGGCATCTGTTGGTGTGCCTTCGGTCTCTATTTTTATCAGCCGTCTGCACATTGACATCTCCACTCGCCTCATTATCCCCGCGCCTTTCAGACCTGCGGCTCTTTTATTGTTATTTAGATGCACGACGCAAAGGAAATGACAAAAGAGGCCGTTCCCCCCTGTGCCCACCTGCTGGCACCTGGCTCCCCGCTGTGGGGAGGCACAGGCACAGCTCCTGCAGTGGGACACGCAGTGACAAGTGCCAGCCCCTGCTCAGCGCCCTGCATCCCTCAGAGCCTTTCCTCTGCTGAGGACATCGTCCATCTCAGCAGCTGTCCCTTGGCTGGGACACCTGGGGTTGCCAGTGCTGTCTGCTTGCTAGTTTTTGTTGTATTTTGGGGTTTTTCCAGAGCCTGGTGAGGCTCCCCAGTGTGCTGGGATGGGTTTGATGTTTCTCCAGAGACTGCTGGTACTTGGAGGGATGCCAGCCCTGGGGCTGTGCCTGTGCCCACCTCCAGTGTGTCAGGGCCAGGCAAGGCCCTTCCCTGAGCTGCCTCCAGGCAGATGTTTTGGCAGATGTTTTCAGGGATGCTTTGGCTCTGGGATGAGGAGGCAGCAGGGCCAGATCCTCCCCAGGATGGTCAGCTTTTCCCTTTCATGGTCCGTCATAGTTCTGCATTCCCTGAACACAACACAAAACATCTTGGGAGTCTCCCAGGTTTTGGGGATCCCCAGCACCTGCAGCCCTGGCTCCATGGACCACCTGGGCTGGCCCAGGCTGTGCTCCAAAAGCAGTTTCTGCCACATGGGGAAAACCTGGCAGCTCATGGAGCAAGTGAACCCTGGGGCATCCCCCAAGGAATTCATTGTTGGGAGCCCCAGAGCATTCCTCAGGGAATTCACTGATGGGCAGTGCAGAGGAGCAGCTGTCACTGCAAAAGCACTAAATTTCCGTCTCTTTTTTTCTCTTTTCTCCCGTTTTCTCTTGCAGTCACAGAGAAGGAGGTGCAGCAGTGGTGAGTGCCCGCCGTGGTGGTGAGCTGGCTGGGGCATGGGGCTGTGGGCAGGGGACAGGAGCTGGTGGCACTCAGCCACCCCACTGGCCAGGCAGAGAGGGACACGCAGGAGGTGTGGGCAGGTGCACCTGTATTGGGGTGCAGGTGCTGCCTCATAGAGGGGAGACCAGAAAATAGAGGGTCTATAGATAGAGGGTGCCCTTACACCCTGTGCAAGGACTGGGTTCTAGTGGCTCTTCCCTCCCCACATGAGCAGCCAGAGAGCGTGGGGACATGGGGACTGTCCAGCTGGTGCTGTCCCAGCAGGTTCCCTTTGGCAGCAGGGCCTGCAGAGGCTGTCAGGGGTGGGATCCACGCTCTCACTCCATCCCCTCCACCCCACCGAACACAGCGCCCTAGAAAAGCCACTGCTTCCCTTTCATCTCGCTATCCCACCAGTCAAGGTTTGCCTTCTTTATCTCTTTCTCTCATCCTTCCCCCCCACCCGATGAGTCATAGCTGCAGCAGCGTGAAAAAGATGTCACCGGCACTTCGGTTTCCCACCTCGCCACCCCCTTCCCCTCCTCCTCCAGCCCTTGTCCCGCTGCAGCGGGCGCCTGACAGATCTGGGCGATGTGTTGCATAATATTCACGTACCCCACGTGATGCCCCTGTGGTCCCACATGCTCCCTTCGTGCTCCCTGCATGGTGCCCACACCCAGGGAGCCGCTGAGCCCCTTCCCCGCGCCCTCCGGCTCAGCTGCACTTTCCAGCAGCCAGGTCCAGCCTGGAGCTGGGTCCGAGGGCTTTTGGGGGTGTTAAAGCGTTGATGGGTTTTGGAAGTGACCTGGGCTGTGCCACCTGAGAACACAGGAACCCTGCTGTGCCCCCCAGCTCCTCTGAGCAGCTTTCATTTGGGGTTGTGCAAAAATTATCACAGAATATCCTGAGTTGGGAGGGACTCAAGCATCAGAATAAATCCAGCTCCTGGTCCTGCTCATCTCAAGAACCCCATGTGCCTGCAACTGTTGTCCAAACACTTCTTGACCTCTGGCAGGCTTGGTGCCATCACCACTTTCCTGGGGAGCCTGTTCCTGTGCCCAGCCACCCTCACAGAACTCAGTGGTCCCTGTGCCATTGTTTTTTGCCAGGGCACGGCTGCAGCGTGGCATCGCTGCCAGTCCTGGCTGGGCAGTGGGTCCCTGTCACCTCCCATGTCCCAGACAATGCTCAACACAAGCCTGGCTGTGCCCCTTGTGGGCTGGCAGCAGCTTGGAGCAGTGCAGTGGGCATCACTCGGTGTCACTGGTGCCACTCACTACTTGTCCCCACTGCCACCCTTGGGATGCTGTGGGTGGGTGATGGGAATGACACGGAGCACCTGGGGACCTTCCCAGCTCCAGCCCACTGGGGAGAGCCTCCCATGTCAGTGGGGAGCCCTCCTGGGCCATGCTGTGCCCTCCATCCACAGGTACAAGGGCTTTATCAAGGACTGTCCCAGCGGGCAGCTCGATGCCGCCGGCTTCCAGAAGATCTATAAGCAGTTCTTCCCCTTCGGTGACCCAACCAAATTTGCCACCTTTGTTTTCAATGTCTTCGATGAGAACAAAGTAAGTGTGGCATCCAGAGACTCAGTCCAGGGTGGTCATGGCTGGGCCCGTGGCGATGGTGGGATGGGTTTGGAATTTTGCACTGGAGAAGCAAAATATTCCAGCGCTTCCTGGGGCGTGAAACTGCAGCGGCGCAGCTGGAGCAAGCCCCTGTGCTTATTTTAGTTGGGGAGAGTCACGTGGGGAAGGGTGATGAAGTGGCAAAGCAGGAAAGGAGAAGTGGTGTTTTGGTGCCCCAGAAGCCCATTCCTGTGGTGCCCCCTGCATTCCAGGGCTGCTCCTGCCGGGATGTTCTCCAGTGGGCTGGGCACCGGCAGCTGGTCACAGTCCTGGGGATAAACGTGCATCACTCCTCCCTCCCTGCTGCCTTCCAGATGTGCCCCCCAGAGGGGATACATGGGCAGGGAGGGCTTTGCTGGGCAGCGATGGCAGCAGCAGCCTGACCCCTCCTTTCCTCCCCCAGGATGGGAGGATCGAGTTTTCGGAGTTCATCCAGGCGCTGTCGGTCACCTCCCGGGGGACGCTGGATGAGAAGCTGAGGTGTAAGTGCTCCCCATGGGATGCTGGTGGGCTCAGCCCCACGAGGGTCCAGGCTGGGGGCCACAGTCCCAGCCCCTTGGGGCTGCTCTGTCTCGCAGGGGCGTTTAAGCTGTACGACTTGGACAACGACGGATACATCACGAGGAACGAGATGCTGGACATTGTGGATGCCATTTATCAGATGGTGGTAAGGGGGCAGGGGGGGCACAGGGCAAGCAGTCCCTGCTGGGCTGGAGCTCAGCTCTGTGGGAATGCTGAAACACCCCCAATTCCTTCTCTGGCCTTTTTTGGTGGGGGATTGTGGCCATCATGGCCAGGGCAGTGTCTGGATCTGGTTGCTGAGGTTGGTTGTGGTGCCAATGTTGTCCCTTTGCACCCTGCCCTGATGTGTGTGGGGACACAATCCTCGCCTGGGGACACCCTCCAGGCAGGGCACAGATGGGTGTGTGACCCAGTCCTGTGCTGCTGCTGCTGCAGGGGAACACAGTGGAGCTTCCTGAGGAGGAGAACACACCAGAGAAGAGGGTGGATCGGATTTTTGCCATGATGGACAAGGTGAGGATGCTTGATGGTTTTTTCCCTGTGGCCAAGGGATTTAGGAGGTGCTGCGGGTCCCTTTGCTGCATCTTGGCTCCTGCAGGTGCCTCTTTGCCCCACCAACACCAGACCTCAGCTGCTGACAGGATCACTGTGGGATACCCACATCCCTCTGGGATCCCTGTATGCATTTCAGGGTCTCCAGGGTGGCATTGTCCCCTCCACGGGTGGCTCAGTGGGGAAACTGAGGCAGCGCAGTGGGCAGGGTGCGTGGGCTGGTGTGGGCGTGCCGGGCTGTCGGGTGCTCAGCTGGGTGGAGCAGTGCAGTCACAGGAGTGTTTTGCAGAATGCAGACGGGAAGCTGACGCTGCAGGAGTTCCAGGAGGGCTCCAAGGCCGACCCCTCCATCGTGCAGGCGCTCTCCCTCTACGATGGGCTCGTATAGTCCCGGGGCCGAGCGGCGGTGAGTGCAGTGCCAGCGGCTCTGGGGGCCCCATCTCCCACCTGCCTCATGCCAGTCCCACCTCCCCCAGGCACAGGCAGCTGATTCCCTCTGCTGAAGCACCAGAACATGGATATCCACCCCCAAATCCAGCCAGGGGAAATGTTGCCCCCATTCTGATAGGTTTTCCCAGTCCTCCCTGTATCACAGAGCCCCTCAGACCTCATCCCATGGGGATGGAAAGGTTTGCCTGTGGCACAGCTCGTGCTCTCACCAGCAGATGTGGCTGCAGAGGAGGCAGGGGGGCAGCTGGTGTGCTGGGGGCACGGGGACGCTCCAGAGACAGATTATATTAAATGTTTTATTTATCTTAGATCTTATTATATTATGCCCTGGAGCTGGTTTGGCACGGCTGTGTCAGGGACACTGGTTCACAGCATCATACAGGTGCTGGGCTGCTCCTTGCTGTGCCTGTGGAGCTGTTCAGAGTCCCTTGGAGTGTTTTTGGTCATCACAGTCCAGGCAGTGTCCTGGGGATGGGGTGTTTTTAACCCCACTGGGGTTTTGAGATTTTCACTATCTATTCTGTTTCCAGCTGCGCTGAGATGGCTGCAGGGATTTCTGGCCATCCTTCTCACCCTGTTTCCCTTTCTCCCTTCTCCCACCCTCTCCTGCAGATGCCTGGGGGAAGATGCTCTCCGTGCCATCCGACCACCGCCGTGCGAAGCTTGCCTGTCCCTCCCGGCCTTCCTTTCTGCCCTGCGAGCAAGGAGTGCCCTCAAAGCGCGAGCTCACTCCCCTCTCTGCACTCTGAACCAGCCGCTGCCATTCGCCAAATTCCGCTTTTTCCAAACAATCCCCGCGCCAGACCCCGGTCTGAGCGGCAGCGAACGTCCAAGACCTCAGGGCCGGGGGACGGGCGGAGCATGGCCGCAGGCAGAGCCCCCTTCGGCCTCCTGGCCCCCTTGGCTCCCTTTTTCCTACTTTTCCGGATGGGACTGCGGATGCGCCGGCGGGGTCCTCTCGGGAGCGGCCGGAGAGGAGCCCAAAGGTAGCGGGGCTGCAGCCCCGGGGTGTGCCCGTGCCCGGGGAGCCGAGGCACCGACGGAATTGGGAACAGAGTCCTGGCGTCACCCACGATGCCGCTGGCAGCCCGGCTCGGCTCACTAGGGATATATATTATATTATTTTTATTTTTTTTTTTTTCTGGTGAGACAGTATTGTGCTTTTTGGTTTGGTTTTGTTTTGTTGGTTTTTATTTTTTTTTTAATTTTTCCCTTCGGTGGAAAAAAGTGAGGCTTTTTTTTATATGCCTATCTCGACGATCGATATCCTTATTTATTTGTTGTAAATGTCGCTGCTGTGTTTTGTCTCTCGTGTGTGTGTCCACCCACCCAGGTGAGGATTTGTAAGGTTTACATGCTCGTACACTATTGCGGGGACCCGGGAGCCTGCAATAACAATGAAGCCAAAAATCTGCCTTCCCCCCTCTCCTCCCACCCCTCGTATCCCAAGCTCCGTGGGCTGGCTGCTGTTTGGAGGGGATGCTGTAGCTTCTTTTCCTCTCCCTGTTCCCGTGTTCCCTGCATTTTTCTGTTCACTCTTCCCTCTGGGAGCTCAGTGAGGGCTCACTCAGCCCAGACTCTGAGCAGACCAAGCTCCATCCCTCCATCGGGCAGGGTGAACAAACTGCTGGGCACCAGTATTTCCTATTTCCTATATTCCTATTCCCCTAACATCCCTATTTCCTTCCTTTTATTCATTTTCTCACTGCATGACAAAGTATTAATGGAGCCCAGAGTCGGGTTCTGCTTTCAAGCAGATTCCTTTGCTATGTTCAGCTTTGTGAGCGGTGGGAAGGTGTTTGGTGGTGGCTGTGAACCATCCTGTGTGCTGCAGGGGCAGAGGGGCAGCCTTGCTCCCATCCCATCCTGGGACAAGGTGCCAGGGGAGTGCCAGGCTGGGCTGAGCCCAGCTCAGGGTGTCTCCTTACCCCAGCACTCCCACAGGACGTGGGAGGTTTTGCTGTGGCTCCAAGCAGAGCCGCTTGCACCCACCTTGGAGGAGGCAAAGGGCTGGGAATTTACACCTGGGGACACTGAGCTGCGGCCCCCCCATCATGAGCAGGGCCTGCATGGCCTCTCCAAACTCCATCAGCACCCAGCACCCCTCTGGGATGTGCCCCCAGCTCAGCCCCACCGTGGGACACAGTTGGCATCTCTGCTGGAGGATGAGCATTGCTTGGGTGATGCCTCAGCTGCTCTGGGAAAGGAGAGATGTGCATTCCCTCAGGAGCAGAGTGCAAGAAGCCTTTGGGACCCCTAAAGCCACCCTGGGGCCTCTCCCTTCCATCTCTGGCCCAGCTGATGGTAGCAGCATCTCTCCACCCAGCTGTCCCCCAGCTCCTGTGGCTGAGGCCAGACAGAGGACTGTCCCCGTGGCAGGGAGAGGTGACATCTGCCTGTGCAGGACAGTGTGACAGGTGTCTCACGATGCAGGAGACAAGGTGGTGCCTCAGCATTCCCTGAATCCTCCTGGCATGCCAGGGACACATGCCCCAGCCAAGGGATGCTGGTTCTTCACCGTGCAACCCCACTCCTCAGTTTTGGGATTTTGTGCTTGTGGTACTTCTTGATGCCCATAAAAAACACCTTTCCCTCTCCCCAAGGAGACTGACCTCACATCCATGTGCAATATTCCTGCCTCTTCTGCAGTTCCTGCCCCTGAGGATGCCCAGTTTCATTTGGGGGTGCTTCTGGAGGGTGTCCCTCACTCACTCCCATGGAAACCCTTTTCCTTGTTGCTCTGTGGCCAAAATGCAACTCTCTGGGGTAGGTTTTTGCAGTGCCTGCAACTTGTTGAATGCTCATGTGCCAGACTGGTCCCCTCCTGGTGCCAATCAATGTTCCCAATGAATGTGACACTGCTGTAATCACCTCTGCTGATGAATGATGGCCCCTGCCACGTTTGACATAGTTCCCAGGCAAAGGCAAACCTCATTTACTCTGACACTGTTCCCCTGGAAAGCTGTTAATATTTGGAGGACCTGTCGTGGGTTGAGCTCCATCAGTGCTCACAGATGTCTCCCCAGGGAGTCAGCCCTGCCAGGGCTCTTGGCACGCTGGGTGTCCCTGAGCAAAGCTGTTTTGGCCCCAGTGTTCCCCACTGGCTGTGGATTTGGGACCCTGGCTTGGATGCTTCCAGTCCCACTTTTGGGGATCACTAAGGGACCCTGATTCCTCCTGACCACCACCACGATCTGCAGCATCTTGGTATCACTGAGAATAAGGCTTGGAGCATCTTGTGCTTGGAAATGTCAGCCTTAACCTCCTCGTGCCTCAGTTTCCCCATCAGTGGAGTGGCTGGGGTGAGCCATCCCCCTCTGGAAAGCAGTTTGGTGTCTGTACCCACGAGTGCTGGGTACAGCTCAGGACTGTGGGCACAGGGCTTGGCAGGACCCACCGGGCATCAGGCACGTGCAGAACACCAGGAACAGTGCGTGGAATGCTGGGTTTGTCAGGGAGTCTTTAATTCCAGCCTCTGTTTTACACCTGCTCATGATGAAACAGGCAGCAAGCCCTGCTTTGTCTCTGTTTGTACTCGGGTTCCTGGTGCCTGTCCAAAACAGAGCCCTGGCCGTGGGAAGGGGGCCCAAAGCACAGCCAGGCAGAGGTGAGGGTCCAGCCCTGGGGCTGTGGCATGTGCCCCCCTCTCATTTGTCCCTGTCACTGTTGCCCCATTAAATGCCATGTCTGTACTTTCCTTTCTTTTCACTTTTCTGTCTGTGTGCTGATTGTTGCTGCTTTGTGTCTGTCTTTCCTTGAGCTCTGGGGCTGGGCTGAGCTGAGCTGTTTCCCCCAGGAGCAAGAAGGTGGGAGAAGGCTCTGGGGACAGATTCCCCCCTGCCCTCTCCTCACAGCACAAACCAGGACCCAAGAGAGAGAGAAGTGAAGGGTTTTTCCTCTGGAGCAGGCTGTTAATTAATGCAATTTATAACGAGACCAGGCTGGTCCCAGGAGCGCTCTCCGCTGGGTTGGTGGAGGGGGGTGTTTGCTTATGGGGGACCCCAGACCCTGTTTGTGCCAGGTACCAGCTGCTTCTCACCCTCCTTCACAGGAATAGATGCCTGTTGCCTCTTCCCTGCCATCAGGACACATTCCTGTTGGATGGGAGGCTGAGGTCACTGCTCCTCAGTGGACAGGGATGCAGCTGCCCAGAGTGTGGAATGGTCTTGGAGTCTCAGGATCTGGGTTTGAGCCCCACTTGGAGCAGGGCTGGCTTTGAAGCAGGGCCAGGCATGGCATGGGGGCAGCTGAAATCACTGGCAGAGCTGCCCCGTTGCCATGTATTTAGGGTTGGGGGGGGTCATTTGGGATGGGTGAGTGACCTGCAGCCAGCTCACTGTCCCCCATCCAAGGAGGAGATTTGGGGCATTTAGTGAGAGCATCTGTCACTTGTCCTTCCCGAGAGCATTGGAGGGGAGGGTCTGGCTGGGACAGAAGCGAGGGCTGAGGGCAAAGCAGGGAGCTGCTGGCCCCAGTGTCAGTGCACGGTTTGGGGTGCAGCAGTTTTGGGGTCTCAGTTACACGTGTCAGCCCTGCCTATTCCAGCAGCGCTGCAGCAAAGTCATCCTTCCCTTCTCTCTCTGCTCCCGTGGCCACCAGCCCTGGGCTGGGTGCCCTGTGCCACAGGTGTGACCCCTGCCCAGGGGGTGGCCGAGCCCTGGGCTGGGAAGCAGCAGCTCCAGCAAAGAGCCTTGTTTGTGAAGATGAAGCCTGTGTGTGCGTCCGTGCCGGTGTCTCGGCTTGCATGCCCCGCTGCCTTGTCTTGAGATGAATTCAAGAGCAAACCAAGCAAATGAAACAGTTTAATAACAGAACAAAACAAAACCCAGGAACTTTGTGACAGTGGAAATAAAAGCTTAATGACAGTAATGAAGTGGCAGTGGTCTGTGATGTCTTGGGGGGGTTCTCAGGGGCCCAAAGCTGCCCTGGCACCTGGCAGGGCTGGGAGCTGGGCTGGGGTGCCACTGTCCCGTGCCCCAAGCACAGGGCACTGATGGCACCAGCGCCAGTATAGATAGGGATGCCCTGGGCTCTGTGGGCAGGCACTGTGCCCACACCTGTGATGAGCTGCCAGGTCTCAGCTCCAGGCATCCCCTTCAGCCCCATAACACTGCTCTTCCCACCTCCTTTTACCCAGACACAGCTTTCCCTCTACTGGATCCCATCCCGACACAGTGCCTGCATCCTATAACACTGCTCTTCCCACCTCCTTTTACCCAGACACAGCTTTCTCTCTACTGGATCCCCATCCTGACACAGTGCCTGCATCCCTTTTTCTATTTGCAATGGAGACACAGCTGTGTGCCCATGGGCAGGGTCCCTGTGCCCCATTTGCAATGCAGACACAGCTGTGTGCCTGTGGGCAGTGTCCCTGTGCCCCATCACAGCTGTGTGCCCATGGGCAGTGTCCCTGTCCCCCATCTGCAGTGGAGACACAGCTGTGTTCCCATGGGCACTGCCCCTATGTCCCATTTGCAGTGGAGATGAGCTGTGTGCCCATGGGCACTGCCCCTATGCCCCATTTGCAATGGAGATGAGCTGTGTGCCCACGGGCAGTGTCCCTGTCCCCTCTGAGCCCCCTCGATGAGCCATTGGGTCACTTTTGGCACACAGTGGCTGCAGAGGAATCTTGATATGAATTTCCATAATTGTGCCCCTTGGCAGCCCCCCTGCTCCTGGCAGGGCTCACAGCCTGGACTGGGTTTTCACGTGCAGTGTTGGCCATTCTGCTCTGCCAGCTCTTCCGGAAACGAGCCCTGCGAGGCCTCCCTGGCAGCTCATGTCCCTTGTGTTTGCTCTCCTAACGAGGCTGACTCATTATTTTCGGGAGGCCAGAGGAGATGCCCTAATGGTCCGAACAAGGAGGCTGTGTTTGTGCAGGGGGTTTTGTCCAGGGGTGCTTTGTGCCAGCACATGGTGGGAGCTCCCAGGGATTCCTCCCCTGTGCCATGGAGTGGGCAAGGACAGGCACAGGCTCCAAACCACGGCAGTTACCCAGAGAATGTGCCTGAACCCCCAGCAGGGAAGGGGTTAAAGCCCAGCTAGCATAGGTGCTCCAGGGACTGGGAGCACTGGTGAGTGTGGGAAGGGCTGGCTGGGATTAATTTGGTGATGAGGAGAAGCCGTTGGGGTTTTTTGTGCCAGCCGTGCTGGTGCTCCCTGCCAGGGTGCAGGATGGAGCTGGCATGCAGGCTGGTGGCTGGGGATGCTCCAAGGTAGGTTTTGTGGCACTGTGGGGTGGGGGACTCCCCTCAGCTCTGTGGGGCTGGGAGTGCAAAGCCTGGGGGAGTGCAAGCCCTGGCCGTGGGACAGGAGGGGAGCAGGCCACTGGCACAGCCCCAGGGGCAGAAGTGTCATTGCCCTGCTGTGGAGGAGATGTCCTTGCCTGCTCTGAGGTTGAGCTAGGCTGAGCCCACGCTTGCAGGGATAGGAAAGGCACAGGATGGTGCCACTGTCCTGTGTGCGGGTTATGAGATGGCTGATCCCCAAGGTCCCCCAGCTCCTGTGTCTGGGAGGAGCAGGGCTGCTGCAGGGGGTGCAGGAGATGCACAGCTTCACCTGGAGCCGCTTTTGGCCGTGGCTGCGCCCTGGGTCCGGCTGCGGGGGAGTTGAGCAAGAG